GACGGAAGCCATTCCTCAGTAAAAGGCACATGACAGCCTGCTTGGATTTTGCCAAAAGGAACCTAAAGGACTCTCAGACCATGAGAAACAAGATTCTCTGGTCTGATGAAACCAAGATTGAACACTTTGTCCTGAATGCCAAGCGTCACGTCTGGAGGAAACCTGGCACCATCCCTACGGTGAAGCATGGTGGTGGCAGCATCATGCTGTGGGGATGTTTTTCAGCAGCAGGGACTGGAAGATTAGTCAGGATCGAGGGAAAGATGAATGGAGCAAAGTACAGCGAGATCCTTGATGAAAACCTGCTACAGAGAGCTCAGGACCTCAGACTGGGGCGAAGGTTCACCTTCCAACAGGACAATGACCCTTAGCACACAGCCATGACAATGCAGGAGTGGCTTCCGGACAAGTCTATGAATGTCCTTGAGTGGCCCAGCCAGAGCCCGGACTTGGGGGGGAAACAATTGTGGAACTGTAACAAAATGTGGAAAAACCAGTCATGCACTTGTCAGAAGCACAGTTGACTTGACCGGGAAAGAAAACAAGCTGATTTACTATTTGGACACTATCTAGTATTTGTAAGTTATCTAGTTTAGCCTACCAAGTACAGTGGCTTGCGAAAGTATTCACCCCCCTTGGCATTTTTCCTATTTTGTTGCCTTACAACCTGGAATTATAATTGATTTTTTGGGGGGTTTGTATCATTTGATTTACACAACATGCCTACCACTTTGAAGATGCAAAATATTTTTTCTTGTGAAACAAACAAGAAATAAGACAAAACAACAGAAGACTTAGCGTGCATAACTATTCAACTTTGTCCCTGACCTGAGAGAGCTCCTTGGTCTTCATGGTGCCGCTTGCTTGGTGGTGCCCCTTGCTTAGTGGTGTTGCAGACTCTGGGGCCTTTCAGAACAGGTGTATATATACTAAGATCATGTGACAGATCATGTGACACTTAGATTGCACACAGGTGGACTTTATTTAACTAATTATGTGACTTCTGACGGTAATTGTTTGCACCAGCTCTTATTTAGGGGCTTCATAGCAAAGGGGGTGAATATATATGCACGCACCACTTTTCCGTAATTTATTTTTTTGAATTTTTTGAAACAAGTTCTTTTTTGAATTTCACTTCACCAATTTGGACTATTTTGTGTATGTCCATTACATGAAATCCAAATATAAATCCATTTAAATTACAGGTTGTAATGCAACAAAATAGAAAAAACGCCAAGGGGGATGAATACTTTAGCAAGGCACTGTAGTTGTGATTTAAGCAATGTCAATGAGGGTTAGGCTACATTCATTTTCTTTTAGCCTACTAGGCTACATAGTATGAGAGTACAGTACTGTGAAATGCCAGATCTGGTCTGCATATGGTTCAGCTTATTTTTAGCTTAGCTAGGCCTACATGTTATCCATAAAGAAGGTCATTAATTTCATTTTGACAGAGTCAAATCATTATAAAGTACCAGATTTGCACTTTTCAAGAATCAGCAGCAGCAGCAGCAGTAGAAGTGTTACTTGCCAGGATCATGAAAGATCTAAGTCAATAGCTAACACAACGTACGTATTGTTAACAAAACTCAATATTGTTGTTGTTGTTGTGTTAGGAAAAGAGGGAATGAAAGTGGGCCATTGTTGCTGTCCGGGGCTGCTGCTGTTGCCTGAATCAGGGGTTTTATTTGATATCAAATGGTAATTCCATTGCGTAAGAGAATTTGTAATATTTAAACTGAGCTCGCCATGGGACGCTAGGGCGGGGGGGGGGGGGGGGGGGGGGGGGGGGGGGGGGTTGGGGGTTGGCTGAGGGGGATTGGGGGCCAGAATGGTCACGGAGGGGAAGAGGGAAATCCTTATCTTGATGTTGACTGATGATGGTGAAGATAAGCCACATTTAGAGATGATAACTGACTTACAGGAATTACAATTGTGGGTTTAAATAGGTCTTAGATGGGACAGCAGGCATTACACTCAGTTTTGATTATATTATGACATTGCCCAATTACGTGTGTGTGTTTGTGTGTGTGTCTGTGGGTTGGTTCTTCTATCCTTGTGGGGACCTAAAATCCCCAAACGTCCCCACAAGGATAGCTTAGGGGTTAAGTTTAGGATTAGGGTTAGAATTAAGGTTAGGGTAAGGGGTTAGTGGTTAGGTTTATGGTTAGGGTTAGGAGTTAGGTTAGGGTTATGGTATGGGTTAGGTTTAGGGTTAGGGAAATAGGATTTTGAATGGAAATGAATTATAGGTCCCCACGAGGATAGAAGAACATAACGTGTGTGTGTGTGTGTGTGTGTGTATGTATATGTCAAAAGTAGTGCCCTAGGGTCAAACGTAGTGCACTATTGTGTATTTCCAATGATGATTTACCCCAGTGTTTCACCCAAAAGGCTCTGACTTTTCTGTTTCCAGGCCGCGGGCCGGCATCCGTGTCTTACTGGGCCATGGCTCTAGCAGACCTGCCAAGGCGAGGTCAAGGGGACTTTTCTGCTTGCATTTACATAACAATGGCTAACTGTGAACTTTAACACTGTCTCACAAAGCAACAGTCTTGAATAATGCAGGTTGTTGATTCTGCTCGCCACAAGTCTTTAGTGTCCTGATATAACACTAGAGCTAACATGAACATAAAACACTGGTGGCCCACTGGCGTGGGGGTATGTCTCATTGGAAAAGCACCATGTAGGGAATAGGGTGCTATTTGGGTCACTGACTCTTTGTGTAGACCAGGGTCCAGGATGGTGTATCGCTTCACTTGTTGCTGCTAGAAATGGGAGAAATGTCACAGGACAACGCTATCCTAGGTTGACTGAACTGTTGAACTTTTAGCACAGATGGAATGGGGTTTGCAATTAAAATGTGGTATGCACATGTTGTCACATCTGGCATGGCTTGGATACATTTGGCGTTTAGGCCTAGCTAATTGAGACTTTGCATCATTTTGGGTTTAAGATTGTGAAAACAAGTTTGCAGTTTAATCTGAGTTTGGCAGAGAGTTAATTCATCAGTAATCAAATCCAGTATTTTGTTTGTGCAATGTTCACAAATACCTACTCTTACAGAAATGTGCCTGCCCGTGAAAGAATACTCCACCAAAATGCAGTTGGCAACAGTTAAACACAAAACAGTATCACTGAACCAGAGCCAAGAGTCAATCTCCCCAATACTAACAGGTTTAAAGTTTTAAATGAGAAAGATAATCGCATTAGAGGGCTGGTCATACAAAGAGAGAGAGAGCAGTGTTTCACCTAGATAGTACCACGACTCTAATGCTTAGGTGGTGGAAGGCAGGCAAGGCAACACAGCTATGCAACACAGCTACATGACGTCTCCAATCTGGAACTGCATTCATAAAGCATCTCAGAGTAGCAGTGCTGATTTAGGATCCGTTTTTTAGATCACAATGAATAAGTTTAGCCTACATGGGCAGGGGGGACCTAATCCTAGATTAGCACCTGATATGCTTGATTCATACAACCCCTGGTCTTCATACAAGACTTTATAGAATATTATTTATTGAAAAGCAGTCATTTACTCTAGACAACCACAGGCTCTTCCTCCTATCTCTGCTTTAGGTATAAACCCAGAAGGTGTTGGTATAAACTAGGCCAGTGATTCCCAACCTTTTTTGGTTACTGTACCCCGAATCACATTTTGCTCTGTTCGGACCCACAAAGTTTCCCCTCATGTGCATTTTACCAGTAGGCCTATGGTTTTATGCGTCTTCCCAAGAACCCCCTGTGGATAGCCCAAGTACCCCCAAGGGTACACATACCCCAGGTTGGGAACCACTAAACTAGGCAAACTCTTGTTTGGGATACAGTGACACGGAGACTAGCGTTAGCATCTGTCCAGTGGTACGCTCCTGTAAACATCACTAACAGGTCACTACAATACAGGCAGAGTGTAATCCACTCATATTACCCAGGGGCTTTCAGGCATATGCCCAGGATTCAGTAATAGCCTCAGGGCTTTCTGGAGCTGTATGCCTGGCTGGGTGGGTGATTATTATAGCTACGCCCCAGATTAGGATTTGGATGTGGATAGAGGCTGGGACACACACACACATTCCTGTTGGTGCAGGCAAGCTGAATCACACAAGATGAGGGGAGCACCGCTAAGACTGTTACATCAAAAGCCACTGCAACACTGACTACCCTCCCAATCCCAACCGCTGATTTACCAAACATGGGCTAGCCAACCAACTAATGCCTCGGGACTACAGTTCTAAAGGGAATACTGTGCTTTTTACTTCAGGTATTATTACATAGTTATTACATTATATTTATCACTAGCACCGTTATTACTATTATCATTACTATTGATAATAAGGATATTTCGGGTTGATCTGACTAGCTCTGTTGATTTTCCTCTCCCGCTGTCTTAGTACCAGACCTCTGTCTCGGACTGAGAAGGAGAGACTCCTGTTGTGGGGCAGAGAGGAGAGCAGAGAAGGGGAGGAGATGAGAGGACGGGGAAAGAATGGGGAGAGGAGAGGGGCGTCCTGTTGTCGGGCAGAGGAGAGGAGAGGAAAGGAGAGGATAGGAGGAGAGGAGAGGAGAGGAGAGGAGAGGAGAGGAGAGGAGAGGAGAGGAGAGGAGAGGAGAGGAGAGGAGAGGAGAGGAGAGGAGAGGAGAGGAGAGGGAGGCAGACAGAGCGGTTGTTTCGTGGTGGAGGGAGCGGAGGCTTTGAAATGGGGGGTTTTGTTCTCGCCTCTCCCCTCCTCTCTTCTCCGTCCAGTCGGGCGGTACTCTAAAGAGTATGATATGGAGACGGAGAGATAATTGTTTTAACAGCACCTTCCCTCTCTCTCTCCTCCCCCCCTCGCTTTTTCTCTATCTCTCTTTCTCTCCTGTTTTCCCAGTGATGGCCAGTCAGCTGTGCAGCTGTGCTCAGGCTCATGTCGCTGCGTCTAGCAACCAGGTCTGAGTGACGCCACCCCCTACCCCCCACCCGCCCCCCTTCCAAAAACAACACCAGCAAAACAAATGCGACCATGTACAGCGTGGAGGACCTGCTTATCTCGCATGGATACAAATTGCCCCAAAACACCGCTACCGCCCCCACTGCAGTCTCCCCCACACCCCCGTCCTCCTACGATAACAAGCGTTACGGCGACCCTTCCTCCTGCCGCCAGGAGATCTTAGAGAGCCGGTCCGGTGGTGGTCACGGAACGGTGAACGGGTATGAGATAGACTCTGCGCCGGGGGTGTATGTGTACGGCAACAACAACAACAGGCAGCCCCAGCCACCAGCCCCAACCAAAGGCAACTCCTCCAGTCACACCGACAATGCATGGAGGGACAGGAACAGCCAACCACAGAGGAGGGAAGCCGACAGCGGTAACCAAGGTGACACCCACTCCTTGGGCGATTCTCTCACGAAAGATAGCGGGTGAGTCCGTGTGTGTGTGTGTGTGTGTGTCTGTTTAATCTTTTGGAATGCTAGTGTTGTTTTCCATTGTTTTTATCATTGCATGCAATCTTGACATCTCTTGCTTGCATGTTGTTGTCCTAACTGTAAGTCGCTCTGGATAAGAGCGTCTGCTAAATGACTAAAATGTAAAATGTAAAATGTTGTTGTTGTTGATTTTAATCATACAGTTGGTCTGTTGCAGGGAGCTTGTTTAGCACATAGAGTCATGCAAAGGTGGAATCAGTCAGTATAGGAGTTCTGCATTGGGATGTTGCACCACAGATTCTCTCCCTCTCTCTCTTACCTCCCTAGTTCTCCCATTCCCACTCTCTTTTGATCTTTCCCTCCCTCCCTCCCTCCCTTTCCGGTAAAGCCAGTAGACAGGGAGTCGGGGTAATGTGTTCTGGAGTCTTAATCTGCCACATGGGAGAGTTGTGTTGTAAACAGACTAGAACTGCTGCTACTACTGCTGATAGACTCCAGCGCCACCATCCGTCTGAGCATGCCCAGTTCTGCAGACAGATGTCCCAAATGGCAGTCTATTCCTTTATAGTGCACGAAGGAAGTGCACTATACGGGTGATTCTACAGAAGTGGAACAAATTGCAGTCCCATGATGTGTTCTAATTCAATCGAATGCCATAACAAGCATATTGTTCAATTAATATAGTACAAAGTCATTGTTTACACACCTATATCTATTGAGAGGTGGCTGTCCCAAACCTTGACTCCTAAACATCATGTTTGAAAATAAAGCAATTAATGATTAGAGATTTTTTTTACGCTATTATTTCAATAAAACATCTTCAGTTCTTCTATTATTACATTTAAAGATACTGATCTAATTAGTCGTTTTATTTATTTGTAAACATCTTTCTCTAAAAAATGCTGTCCCACCTTTTGATGTCACTACCGAAACACACACATTAAAAGACTAGCATTAATGTGTCTTAAGCCACACCCCTACAAATATCACCAGGTGATGGGATTGCACCCCTCTCCAGCATGGCCACATTGTGAGTAGTTTGTCTGCAAACATTTAGGAAAAAATGAGTAAGCAAGTTGGTAAATCTTCATGTATTTTTAAGAAGTGTCACTACCGAACATCTAATATATCAAGAAATACAGTACCAGTCAAATGTTTGGACACACCTACTCATTCAAGGGTTTTTCTTTATTTTTTACTATTTTCTACATTGTAGAATAATAGTGAAGACATCAGAACTATGAAATAACACATATGGAATCATGTAGTAACCAAAAAGGTGTTCAAAATAGCCACCCTTTGCCTTGATGACAGCTTTGCACACTCTTGGCATTCTCTCAACCAGCTTCACCTGGAATGCTTTTCCAACGGTCTTGAAGGAGTTCCTACATATGCTGAGCACTTGTTGGCTGCTTTTCCTTCACTCTGCGGTCCAACTCATCCAAAACCATCTCAATTGGGTTGAGGTCAGGTGATTGTGGAGGCCAGGTCATCTGATGCAGCACTCCATCACTCTCCTTCTTGGTGAAATAGCCCTTACACAGCCTGGAGGTGTGTTCGGTCATTGTCCTGTTGAAAAACAAATGATAGTCCCACTAAGCGCAAACCAGATGGGATGGCATATCGCTGCAGAATGCTGTGGTAGTCATGCTGGTTAAGTGTGCCTTGAATTCTAAATAAATCACAGACAATGTCACCAGCAAAGCACTCCCACACCATCACACCTCCTCCTCCATGCTTCACGGTGGGAACCACACATGCGGAGATCATCCGTTCACCTACTCTGCGTCTCACAAAGACACGGCGGTTGGAACCAAAAATCTCAAATTTGGACTCATTAGACCAAAGGACTAATGTCCATTTCTCGTGTTTCTTGGCCCAAGCAAGTCTCTTCTTATTATTGGTGTCCTTTAGTAGTGGTTTCTTTGCAGCAATTTGACCATGAAGGCCTGATTCACGCAGTCTCCTCTGAACAGTTGATGTTGAGATGTGTCTGTTACTTTAACTCTGTGAAGCACTTATTTGGGCTGCAATCTGAGGTGCAGTTAACTCTAATGAACATTTCCTCTGCAGCAGAGGTAACTCTGGGTCTTCCTTTCCTGTGGCAGTCCTCATGAGAGCCAGTTTCATCATAGCGCTTGATGTTTTTTGCGACTGCACTTGAAGAAACTTTCAAAGTTCTTGAAATGTTCCGTATTGACTGACCTTCATGTATTAAAGTAATGATGGACTGTCGTTTCTCTTTGCTTATTTGAGCTGTTCTTGCCATAATATGGACTTGGTCTTTTACCAAATAGGGCTATCTTCTGAATACTCCCCTACCTTGTCACAACGCAACTGATTGGCTCAAATGCATTAAGAAGGAAAGAAATTCCACAAATTAACTTTTAAGAAGGCACACCTGTTAATAGAAATGCATTCCAGGTGACTACCTCATGAAGCTGGTTGAGAGAATGCCAAGAGTTTGCAAAGCTGTCATCAAGGCAAAGAGTGGCTACTTTGAAGAATCTAAAATCTAAAATATATTTTTGATTTGTTTAACACTTTTTTGGTTACTACATGATTCCATATGTGTTATTTCATAGTTTTGATGTCTTCACTTTTATTCTACAATGTAGAAAATAGTAAAAATAAAGAAAAACCCTTGAATGAGTAGGTGTGTCCAAACTTTTGACTGGTACTGTAAGTAAAGTAGGTTTTGGGACTAAAATATTTGCTGGGATGTACATCTGTCCAAATGAAAGATAGCCAGCCATATGTTACTTATGTCCAGACCGAAATGGTCCCAACCGAAACAATTGACACCATAGAGATATATAGAGGTCTCATCTTTGTCTCTGTGCCATTATGGCGTCTGTGAAAGCACAGGCAGCACCATTGAGGCTATCTCCATTATAAACTTGCATGCACCATGCTCTACCAACTGAGCTACAGAGGACCACCATGTGGGTAGTGAACAAGTGCACACTTCATGAAAAAGTGCACTGTATTAAGATGCATAGCCAGCAGGGGGGCTCCAACCCTCCAAGAGCCCAAACATTTACATCTATTTGGTCAAAACATAGACGTCTATAATGTACTGTACTGTCATGTACTGTACTATACTGTAATCTACTGTACTGCAATCTACTGTACTGCAATCTACTGTACTGTAATCTACTGTACTGCAATCTACTGTACTGTAATCTACTGTACTGTACTTTACTCAAGTTTACTTGAGGTTCTTCAATTGAAGAAAGGGCCCAAGGGCCCACCCTCTTGGTCTTGGCTCCTGGATATTACATTAGTCTTTGGTTTACAAACCATAGGCAACCCAATTTGAAGAAGACAATGCTCTCTGATCATTGGTTGATCTGATCACTCCCAACCCATAGGAATCCCCACCCAGCTTACTTTTAAATGGTGGAAGCCTGAATGGCAATGTCAATGTTTTTCCAACCCCCAATTTGCACCACTTCTGTAGAATGACCGATATAGGGAATTTCACATTTTAGTCATTTAGCAGACGCTCTTATCCGGAGCGACTTACAGTTAGTGAGTGCATACATTTTCATATTGCCATTTGGGATGCATGCAGACAGACGTCTGCCTGTTTAAAACCCAGTAGTAGACTATCGATAGCCCCTCCGTCACTACACAACCTTCTTTATATAACGCATTTAACATTAATAATGCACGCAGCATTTAAATATGGAGAAGAGATGCTGCCTGCTATTCTTAGTTCAGTTGAGGAGTTATGCAATGGCAAGCTTTCCGGGGGAATGTCCCTTGGTGTTAAAATGTAGGATTTGTACAGAGACACTCTTTCGTCTGTCCTTACGTCTTGTCAGCTTAAGTAGCCTAGTTGCAGTACCAGTGCTGGAGGTTTGTGTATTGTATAGCTCAGTAATACAGGACGTTCAATATCCTACAGTACATCAGTCATAGAGATCCTATAGCTTCATTCATTCTATATGGAATTCTATGATATCAGTGCCCAATGCCACTCAATTATATACTATTTCAGTAAATGTAGAATTCTTGTTAATTTGCTTTGTTTTTGATGTTTGTTGTTTTTGATATTTGCTTGTAGAACAGTGATTTGACCTTGAATATTACACAATGGTAACATTGATTATATTAGGCAATATAATTCAACCTGCATAACTTACCCTTGCCTCAAGTGCAAACAGTGCATTTGATTAGAAAATGTAAGCATTAAAATCATATGCGTGACACTTTTTACAATGATTGTTGCTGGGGTGTTTTTAGCTTAGTTTTAGAAGGTAAATATGGAATATACCTAATATTTCCACTAGGAGGTGCAGATGCTATCCACTTACGATTGGCTAACTAGGCTATAATATAAGATATAGGATTCAGTGGAACCTACCTAATTCTCACGGCTGACTGCACTGACAGAACATGAAAAAAGCAGATCAGATCATGCATGGAGAATCAGCTTCTCTCAGACTGTAGGGTGCACACATGTCATGTTTGTTAACATGTTCAGTAGGAATATCCAGAAATAGCTGTAGCTAGACCTATATCCTATCCAGGGACTGGGAGTTTGCTTGTAGTATGCTTGTGTATCTCTATTACTGGGCACTCAGCAGCAACCCTTCCATTCTACATTAGCCTTTAGAGATGGGGAGAGACAGACCACTGATGCCTCTACTCCTCTACCAGTAGTGTTCTGACTCCCCCCAGTGGAAGAGGGCCTCAATGACATCTTGCCGTAGAATTATTCCTAATGTGTCCTGTGTGTGTTCTAGGTTTCTAGGTTCTATTACTGTGTGTGTGTTCTAGGTTCTAATAGTGTGCATTTTAGGTTCTAGGCTCTAATACTGTATTCTGTGTGTTCTAGGATCAAATACTATGTGTTCTAGGTTCTAATAGTGTGTTCTATGTGTTCTGGGTTCTTATACTGTGTGTTCTGTGTATTGTAGGTTCTAATACTGTGTTCTTTGTGTTCTACATTCTAATACTGGGTTATGTGTGTTCTAGTTTCTAATACTGTGGGTTCTATGTGTTCTAGGTTCTAATGCGGTGTTCTGTGTGTTCTAGGTTCTAATACTGTGTTATGTGTGTTCTAAGTTCTAATACTGTGTGTTCTAGATTCTAATACTGTGTTGTCTTCTGTGTGTTCTAGGTTCTATGAGGGGCCCAGAGGGGTGTATTCACAGCCCAGGGGCCACAGAGACGTGTCCTATTGGAGGAGGAGAGGCCAGGACTTCAGTGTTCTCCTGGATTACGCTGACTTCAGAGAGCCTGGAGGAGGGGGAGGCTATAGGAGGACAGAGGGGGTGCAGCAGCAGCAGCAGCCGCAGAGACAGGAGGTGATTTCATTCTGTGATTTGTTTATTTTACCTTTTAAAAGTAATAGTGTAATGATAAATAAAACCATTGAGGATGACAAAAAAAATATCAAAAAGCGTGTCCCAAATGGCACCCTATTCCCCATAGGCCCTGGTCAAAAGTAGTGCACCATATAGGGAATATGTTGTCATTTGAGACCTATACAAAGACTGATTTCCATTGTGGTCCTCTGTCTGTCTAGGTGCCCCCAGAGGATCAGCGCCAGCAGGGTGAGAGGCAGCGTTGGGCAGTCCAGTCCCAGGCCCAGTCCCGCTCCAAGCAGAGAGAGGCAGCGTTGCAGCAGTGGACGATGGCTGCCGTGGAGAGGAAGTGTCAGAGCCTGGGCACGGACGAGTGGCGACCCGCCGTGGTCAGCTTCGCCCGCCAGCTATCAGACAGTCAGGGCGCTAGATGGGCTCAGGCTCAGGAGCAGCAGCAGCTGCAGCAGCGCCACCTCCGGACACCGGATGGCGCTGTGGTTGTAATGGGGCCCAGGAACAAAGGGAAGTCCCAGTCTCTGCCCCGAATGCTGCCGCCGGACAGCCTGCCATACGTGGCCATGTCTGGGTCTGTTGGGTCTGGGCAGGACGTGTACAGGAAGGTCAACGGCCACCCAGGGTCCCATCACGACCCTTACAGCAGATATAACCACAACCAGGCCGGGACAGGGGACAGGGACAGGTGGTCTGAGAACGACAACAGACCCTCCAGTCAGGCTAGTATGGCCAGCCAGCTAAGCCAGGTCAGTCAAGTTAGCCAGGCCTCTCTGGTACCAAAGGCCCGGTTCAGCCGTCCCCTACGGCCTCCGTCCTACGAGGTGCACCAGCAGACCCGGGGGAGTTCTGAGACGCTGTCAGGAGACCCAGCAGCAGCATCAACCCCACAGCCCCAGGCCAGGGACAGAACCCCCCTCCCCCACCCCAGGATGGGTGACCCCAGGCTGGACTATTATACACAGGATGGAGGGTCTGGCACGGATCCTCCGGGTTATATCCCTCCCCCATCATATCCCCCCAAAAGAGCTCCGCTTATGAGAGGGGGCCATGGAGGTCACAGGGGCTATGGAGAGGTACCCAGGGAACTACAGGTAACAATTGTTGTAACTAGCCTACTCATGATTTTATATTGCTTGTTTACTTTGCTTTTGAAGCGCTTTGAGATTATTTTCTGTTGTAGAGAAGCATCTGCTAAATGACCAAATTAATGTTAATGTAATATACAATGTAGAAGATAAATACATTATCATTTGTTATTATCAGGTACCACCAGGTGTACCAGCAGCAACAGATGCGTGGGACCCCGGACCCCTGGTTCGGTAGCAGACACACCGGTGGAGGAGGGTCCTGGCCGGAGCCTCAGAGAGAGCCCCTCAGAGAGAGGAGCGTGCCCCACCGGAAGCAGCTCTACCCTGGCTACAGCGAGCAGCAGCACCAGCCGGGCTTGGGTCCTGGCATCCAGTATATCCCCTTCAACGACCCACGTGTCCGACAAATTTCTGGGGGAGGAAGCTCGTCTCTAGGCGGCGGAGGTAACTCCATGACGGACACCGACAAGATCCGCCACATCCGTAACTCCACATCCTCCGAGCTTCCCAGTGTCACCGTGTCAGACCACTCGTCTGATGACACTGCCTTACTGTCCCCCGCCTCCACGGGGGCCCTGCCGCCACTCGCCAGCATGTCAGATCCAGCCAGTCCGACAAAGCCGAGGTCTTCTAGCGACTATGACAATAAGAATAACCGGTGGAAGCATCAGCACAGCGATTTGCACAAAGAGACTGACTCACTAGATAACCTCCCAGCAGCAACTGACCAAAACTGTAACAGGTATAATCCCAAAAACAACCCAGGTTGTTTCTCTGCCTTCCAGCCCCCAGCCCCGGCTCCGGCTCCGGCTCCGGCCTCGTCGGTGCGTCACAGCTCCAGCTCAGACCAGGGCTTCTCGGAAACAACCATCACACAGGTGAAGAAGATAGTTCCAGGAGACGCAGGGCTAGACAACAACAACAGAAACTCTAAGAGGAAGTCTCACAGTGAGACCATCTTCTGCCTGGTGTCTGTCCCCATCCACATGCAGCAACAACAAACCAATAAAGACTCAGTCTCCGCAGCAGACCAGAACAATAACGAGAAGATGCCTGCCAATCTGCCAAGTAGTCTGCCAATCGTCAGCGTCTTCGCCACAGAAGACAACCAAAACACTGTGGTCCAATCAGACAACAGCCAAAGCCTCCGTAGCAAGTCGTTATCAGACATGGGTCTCAAACCCCCCTCCCACACCAGCAGCTTCAGCTCTATGAGAAGCACCAGGAAGGGTCCTCTGAGGAAGGAAATAGTAAACGCCTGGTCACTCCAGGCCAGTGCTGACAAGGAGCTGTGCTATGCCGGATCCTGGCCCGGGGACCAGTACAGGAACCAGGAAACCCAGACCAGCTCCCCCGTGGCGGTGAAGGGTCCTGAGGGTACGGGGGGGACATGTCAGCCTCAGATCTCCCCTGGAGGACAGGGGCGGCAGGGGGGGCAGGAGCCAGGCCACCTGGCCTCAGACACAACCACAGAGAGCGGCGTGAGTACCGACTGCAGCTCCGTGTCTGCCTCCTACGGCGTGGGCTACCCCATGAAAGGCCAGAAGAACCTCCACCCCTCCAGCAACAGCGCCTTCTCCCGCCTCAGTATCAGCCCAGCCCAGCCCCTGTCACTTCCATCACTCCCACCCCAGCCTCCACCCTCTGGATCTGTGGAGGAGAGAGACCAACAGACCTCCACATCCAGGAAGACTGGTGCTACTAACACCACCTCCAACACCACTACCAAACCCCCAGATGATATCAACGCTAACAGCCAGGGCCAGGTGGCGTTTGGTCAGTTCCTGCTGAAACCAGTGAGCCGGCGGCCGTGGGACGCCATTGAGGAGCTGGAATGTTTCAACAAGGCTGCAGGCGTAGAACTAGACCAGGTCCAGAAGAAACAGAAGGTTCAGCCCAGGAGACCCAGTGTGGACCAGTGTATAGACGACCTGGACGAGGTGTACAGGAACATCATGGAGCTGAGCGGAGAAGACACACAACATCAACAACAACATCAGCACATAGTCCCTCCCCCTCTTGACTCTGAGAGGGAGACAGTTAGCCTTCCAGACCAGCGCCTGAATAACAAACCCAACAACAACATCCATAGCATCAGGCCCAGACTAGACAGCTGGGGTCCTGGTTCCTCTATAGACCCAGAATATAGGGAGGTGAGGAGTGCCTTCTCCAGGCCCCAGCCCCAGAACAGGACTAGCATCCCCAGACCGCTGAGAGAGGACCTGGTGCCCACTGCCACCCTAGCAGAGCCCACTGGCTTCAGAGACTACAAAACCCACAATGAACAAGGTGACCCCAGGGAAACCTATGACCCCAGGCTGACCTACAGGCAGGAGCAGGATGTCGCCAAGGACTCTCTACTGAGGGACGTGGGGCTCACCGTCTACACTGAGGCCCCTGGGGGCCCTGGAGTGCAGGACCAACACTGTGGCCCCCCATTCACACCGCTCACATCGTTAGACCACGAGGAACTATGTCAGAACATACAGCTATCATGGGAGAGCAGAGAGAAACCATCTCTAGCCAAGAACAGCCAGGTTGAGGTTGCGCACATCCGTGAGGGCAGTAATAAGGACGAGCTGGGCCCCACTAAAGTAGTGGAGGAGGAGAGGAAGGTAAAGACGGATAACGTGCCCGTCGTGCCACCCAGATTTAGAGGCCATGAGCCCAATCTGAACATCCGCAGGGCCCTGAGTGAGAATAGCAGGTCGCCCAGATGTGAAGGGTCACGGGGGTCGCCACGACCCGGCAGGCTGACCTGGGAGGCAGCGCTCGCCTTCAAGGATGGCGACTACAGATACAGCGTCAGCTCCGATTATCTGAGTTGGCGTAACGAGGCTACGTTGGCAGATAGACACCTGGAGACCCTGCTGATCAAGGAGAAGGCGAACACCATGCCCACAGAGGACCTGAGTAATCTATATGAGGTGAAGTGTGCCAAGGAGATCCCTGAGAACGAGACGATGGAGCAGAGAGCAGCCAGGATACTGGGGATAGACGTAGCCCCGGATTCACTGCAGGGCCGGGGCCAGGAGAGAGAGGAGGAGGAGAGAGAGGAGGAGTCACTGCAGGGGGTGGTGGAGAAGAGAGAGGAGGAGGAGGACAGGCAGGAGCACAGAGAGGAGGAGGGAGAAGCTGGCATAGGTGAAACACAGGAGCACAGGCCTTACAGAGAGCAACAGAACAAACACGACACAAAGACTGGGGGAGAGACCCCGGAACCCCGTCCAGAAGGAGCACAGGCTGTGGAATCACTGGGCCTGGTCGAACACAAAGACAGAGACAGGGAGACACAGCATGTGAGAAGACAGTACGAGCAAGTGATGGAGGTAGAGGTATCCATTGTTACCTTGGGAGAGGAGACTGGAGGAGGACCCAGTAAGGATGACAGCCTATCAGTATATGAAGAAAGACATGCTGGAGGAGGTGGAGAGAGCCAGAGCCACCCCTCCATGGTGCTGGAGCTACCTGAGTTCCCTCCCAGTAGCCTGCCCCTGTCTCTGCCCATGACCCGAGACAAGGAGCTGGCCCTTAGCGTGCTGAGTTTGGGAGGTGGTGGGGAGAGGAAGGGACACAGTAGTGATGGTGCCTCCCCCAGGCTCTCCTCGTCCCCCTCCTCCATATCACCTGGTGCGCGAGTTCGCTCCAGTAGACCATGCCCATGGTCTTGCGCCAGACCCGAGACAAGGAGCGTGGCCCTTAGCAGACGAGTATGGGAGGTGGTGGGGAGAGAACAAGGGACACAGTAGTGATGTGCCTCCCAGGCTCCCGTCACCCCTCCAATCACTGGTGGCCAGAGAGCATGACCACAGGATGAGGTGTTTCAGGGCACCTGACTGATGCAGGAGTGTTAGAGGCAGAACCAGAACAAGAGACAGAGGTAGTGGTAGAGGCAGAACCAGAACAAGAGACAGAGGTAGTGGTAGAGGCAGAACCAGAACAAGAGACAGAGGTAGTGGTAGAGGCAGAACCAGAACAAGAGACAGAGGTAGTGGTAGAGGCAGAACCAGAACAAGAGACAGAGGTAGTGGTAGAGGCAGAACCAGAACAAGAGACAGAGGTAGTGGTAGAGGCAGAACCAGAACAAGAGACAGAGGTAGTGGTAGAGGCAGAACCAGAACAAGAGACAGAGGTAGTGGTAGAGGCAGAACCAGAGAATGATGTAAACCCAGAGGAAGGGATGAGGCAGGCAGAGGAGAAGAGAGAGAGGGCGGAAATGGAGGAGTTGAGGATAGAGATGGAGAAGAAAGAGCAAGAGATGATAAGAGAGGTGGAGACAAGAGAGGGGGAGGAGGAGGTGATAGAGTCCAGATGAGAAAAGAGAGGAGCAGGAGGAGGAGAGTAACAAGCCAGATGTCCAACAGGCGGTTAGGCCAGAGCCGGTCTCCAGACCTATGAAACCTCCTCTCCTCCCCAAGCCCATCCCTAAAGCTCGTAGCGGCACGGTGGCCAAGAGAGAGATCACCCTCCCCCAGAGCTTCAGTGTGTCTTCCTGTGGCTCCTCTACCACCCTAGAGGACGACGAGCTGCTCTCAGGTACAGTAGGAACATGGACACACATACATGCCTTAAATAATAACTATTTTATAACACTTTTCATACTACAGTTTAAAGTGCTTTAAACACATAAAATAAATGCTTGAAAACCACAATCTAATTGTACAAGGGAGTTTTGTTTTGGCATGTGTGCCACAAGAGGGAGCTATTATCCTAGCAAATGAGTGATAGCAGTTGCATTTAGAATTAAATGTATTACATTCTAAAGATGAATACTGCTGGAAAACACACTAAGAACATTCTCAGATAAACTAGTAGGGATGCAACCTTTGCTCTGGTTGGTTTAGTGGCAGTTTGACTTAAGTGGACAATAGGGTGTTTTTATATCAGAACTCTGAGAGAACCCGGCCATAAAACCACTCCAGAAACGAGCTGTTACCCCAGCTGTATGATATAACTGTTTACTGGGTTGGTTTTTTCGGGAAGGACAAGCCAAACCATTGTGTGTGTGTGAACTGGGAGTCCACAAAGACCACTGTGACTCACTGAAACACATTGTTTTAGATAAGATGGATTTTCCTAGCCTGGTCTCAGATCTGTTTGTGTTCTTGCCAGTTTGGCATTGCAATGAGTGACCAAGAGTTGGCATGATAGCACAAACAGACTGACACCCAGACTAGGATTTCCCTGTGTTCTCATTACTGTGTATGAATGAACGTTTAGCTAATGGAATCATCATCATGAATCTCTGGATTGTGATTGGTGTCCTTTCTTTTTCTCCTCAGACTCCTATGATCCTAGTCGAGTGGAGCGAGTGTAACCTCTGACCTCTATCAATACCTTCGACATCTGGGAATTGGCTTTGGTCACCGCTCCATCCGCCCATCCATCCGTCAACTTTTCAGTCAATGCCTTTGTGTGTGTCCCAAATAGCAACCTATTCCCTATATAGTGTACTTCTTTTGACCAGAGATCTATGGGCCCTGGCCAAAAGTAGTGCACTATATAGGGAATAAGGACGCAAACGTCATCTCACCCCATGACCCCCCCAAGCACTGTGCCCCCTTTTCACCAATACAAGCATTGTTTACGCAACAGCAACAGTCTATAATATGTCTGTCTGAGTCTGTCCTGGTGCTCCAATGGCCTCTCGACTGCCAAACAAGAGAACTACCTGGACCCATCAGCACTCTGGCCTTCAGATTTGTTGTTGTTGTTGTACTTTTAACCCCTTTTTCGTGATATCCAATTGGTAGCTACAGTCTTGTCCCATCGCTGCAACTCCCGTACAGACTCAGGAGAGGCGAAGGTCGAGAGCCATGCATCCTCCGAAACACGACCCTGCCTAGCCGCGCTGCTCGCTTAACAAGGAAGCCAGCTGCACCAATGTGTCGGAGGAAACACTGTATAACTGGTGACTGTGTCAGCGTGCATGCGCCCGCCCAGCCACAGGAGTCGCTAGAGTGCGATGGGACAAGGACATCCCCGCCGGCCAAACCCTCCTCTAACCCGGATGACGCTGGGCCAATTGTGCGCCGCCTCATGGGTCTCCCGGTCGCGGCCGGGATCGAACCCGGATCTGTAGTGACGCCTCTAGCACTGCGATGCAGTGCATTAGACCACTGCGCGACTCGGGAGGCCCTAGGCCTTCATACTTTTACTCACCCTCCTCTTCCTCCTCTTCACCATCTTCCTCTCCTTCCAGACGCTTCTAGTCATTAGTGCACTAATTTTGACTAGGGCCCTTATGGCTCTGGTAAAAAGTAGTACACTGTATAGTAAACAGGCTGCCATATAGGACGCAGCCTGGGTTTTCTTGGAATTGCATGTCTGTCATCAACTGTCTCCCAAATCCCAATACAACAGCACTGTGGTTCCTTCCTAGAGGCCTGATGTTGGGAAATGAATGTAAAGAAGTGCTTCTGCTTTTCAAACAAACAGTTACTATGAGATGAAACCACAAAAAGACAAACGTCTCGCATTACAATCAGTGTTACCTACGCACACCAAATATAAATAATAATTACAGAGGTTTAAGGTTTTATTCCAACATACTTTTGTGAGGTTTGTTGCTGAACTGTATATTTTCTTACCTGTGTTGAGAACTTATATGTCGAAGAAGAATCTGATTTTGAAAGCTATACTCTTGAGATGTTATTATCAATAGATACATCTTGCCTGTTCTTATGTGTGTGGCTTGGCCAAGAATGTAATTCTATGTTTGGCTGGATCAGATTGAGAATAGCCTGGTCCCAGATTAGTTTTTGCTGTCCTGCCAACTCCTATGGTCATTGGCGTGACAGTTGGCATGACAGCACAAACAGATCTGGGATCAGGCTAGATATAAAACACTGTGGTGTTTGACTATAGTGTCACTCAGAGCAATACTGTTGTTGCACAGGGCTTCTCTTGGGGCTGCTTGAGAGAGCAGCCGAGAGCCTGTGTACTGTAAGTCCCAATCCCAAACCGCCCCCGAGACCCTACGGTCTTTGAGATAGGGCCTAAGACATTGATCTCATTACAAATCCTTGTGTTAAATCTGTACCATTTGGTACCAAGAGCACCAGGGGTTGCACTGTTAACTAACGTCACTGGTCCTGTGTCAACTGTCTGTGTGTTGCTGGTGGTTCACCATTGGAGGTGTTCCTCAGGGGTGAATGCGAGGACCGTTTCGTTTCATTTTTAGTGCCATCCCCCAACATGACTGTGCCATGGTGTATCCAGACTATGTCAGGTTGTGTCAAGAATGTGTCAGGGTGGTGTGTGAGGGGTCAGATTTTGTTCTTTCAGCATCAGCAATCGCAGCAGCAATTCATTTCACAAAATGTATTTATTTTTGTTAATCAATCCTCATACTGTACAAAAAAAATAAGTATATTTTAAGTATATTTTAAAATGTAAAAGAGGTTTATATTTAACCGTGCAATTTCATTTGCTCACATAAGTCCATTTTTGAGATATCACGTGAATATATCAAATTTTTTCAAAAGTGCTTTTTTGCAAGGAATAATAGATAGACATAACGATCTCAGTGTGCCTTGTACACACTTCTGTTTCTGTGGATTAGGGTGCGTCCCAAATAGCACCCTATGCCTAATATAGTGCACTACTTTTGACCAGAGCCCTATTGACCCTAGTCAAAATTAGTGGACTATATAGGGCAGGGGTACTCAACTCTTACCCTATGAGGTCAGGAGCTGGCTGGTTTTCTGTTCTACCTGATAATTAATTGCACACACCTGGTGTCCCAGGTCTAAATCAGTCCCTGATTAGAGGGGAACAATGAAAAAATGCAGCCGAACTGGCTTCGAGGTCCAGAGTTGAGATTGAGGGATATAGGGTATATGGTGCCATTTGGGACATACCCAATGTTTATTTGTGTTTAACACATACAGTATGTGTACTTTAATAAGTAAGCACATTTTCTTATTTCAACCGGACATGTTGTAATTCATCGTTAATTGTATATGGATAAGACCATTCTTTGTGTTATTTTGGCAATAATAATGAAATATATGTTATGGAAATCAAAACTATATCTTTGAAACAACTATTCTGATATATAAAATGTTAATTCATTAACCTGCTACATGTAAACGTTCAACATATCAAACGCCTTGTAAGCTGGCAAAGCATAGCAATTTGTGTATTTACATGCTCTTCACTAAAGAGTTAACTAATTGTTATACACCTTGATGTTATTGCTCAAATAACTGACTTGCATATCACATTAGACTATATGCAAGGCAGTGTACGTCATCAACCAGTACTGGTTGAAAGATCTAGGCCAAGTTCTGAACCAAAACAGTTTTCCATGTATAAAGACTTCAATATATAATATTTTTGCCCGTTTGCTACAAACATACTGCTATTATCTTTACCCCTTGATTGAACTTACGTGGTATGGATGGAGGTTGCGTGATCTGGTTCAAGACATGCATAAGCAGGAAGTCAGTTTGAGCTTTGAGTTTGTAATACTGTAGTCCTGATATCAAGCACAGGATAATGTTGACACCATAGAATAAGAATGATTCAAATTCTAAGTATGATTCTACTTCTAATCATTGGAATTCTATGGTTGACCCTACCAACACTCTGCCGTGGAACTCTAGGCTAGGTTCCAGGTGGACTATCATTATATGGTCATTCTCATAGACCTTTTGTACTGCAAGCTATTTGTAACATAGATACTATCGTTGCATATCTTGCTGTGATGTTTTCTATTTTCATACAAAGTCTGTACAGCTTTTTT